AGAAAGCTTTTTGGATCTGATTTTTTGTGCCCGATACCCAAATACAAAAAGCATTGAATCAATGACATTGGATTTTCCACTGCCATTTGGTCCAATAATACAAGAAAAACGCTGCATAACAGAAAGAAACAATATTCAAATTTACAACAGAAACTAGCCAATTTGCTTCATCTACTTAATTTGTGGACAGCTGAAAATACTGTTATTTCTAGTGCAGGAAGTTGCAGACTATTGGGAAGCTTAGTTTTTACTGCCCCGGGGGGGAGGAGAAGCCGGGGGGCGGGGAGAATAAAATACACCTCTGGTTAGCACAGATTTCTAAGTTTTATTCTGTAAAGTCAGAAAGCTATATTGTACCCAGTAAGCATGGTTTATAAAGAAACAAGCTCATAATTAACCACATGATTTTCTTGTATTTGTGATTTAACCCCTAAACGTTGTTCAGTAAATCGAATAAAGCAAAGACGATATATGCTTAAGTTGTAGTTTACTTCTAATTCAAGCATGGTACAGTATCAAAAACTTACACTTTGACTACAAGTAATCTATTGTCCTTTAAATAAAATTAGAGTATCATCATTAAAGTAATTCTCACTCTTCCACTATAAATATATAAAATAACTCCTTACAGTACTGTGAACACAACTTATCAGCAAATAAGGAGTACTAGAGACAAAACAAAATTTTACTTCGGTTTAGAAGTTACTTAAAATAGAAAAATACCTTATGAAAAGGTCCCAGAATTTGTTCCCCTGCGTAGGATTTGAAGTTCTGGTTTACAATATGAGTTATCATGAGGCGAGGAGCTCCAGCTTCATTGGTCATTGCTGGAGGTGGGGGAGGAGAGATGCTACTCAAAATCTCTTCTAAACTTCGATTATCAAGTACCCCATCTGAAGCTGCTAAAAACATCCAAAATAAAAAGAAAAAACTATATAATGTCTCAATGACTAGAGAGACCTTCTAAAAGCCTAGTTGAAGCAGAAAAAGTAAAAATTTGCTTCTATACAAACTAGGAATCTATACTTTCACTTTAAATTATTAAAACTGAACGTAAGTGGAGTTAAAGCACCTTTCTTCCAAGGAGCTAATTTTTTAGAAAGTAGACACTTAAGATGTCCCATCCGTTCACTAGTGGGGTTACTGTTTCATTACATAATGCTTATTCTAACACTTTGCAAGGCAGTGTGAAATTACAATAGTTACATTTAAAAAGCCTACAAATCCGTACAAATGGGCAAAGTCTTTCTAATTAATAACTGGACAGCCACATTTCAGGCGTGCTCACACACACTATAAGGAGGAGGAGATTTGGGGATGGTTGAACAATGCCCTGAAAAACTGTAATGACAGCACAACTTACTCTTGAAAGGCAGGAAGTTTGTTACGAAAACAAACTGGCCCCTTGGATTTCAATTATAGTTTTAAATAAAACAGCTTTTCAACTGTTAAAAGCAACTTTTTCTTTAAGTAGACAACTCTGACATCACTTTCCACATATTAACCATTTATCAAACATCTTACTTTAATAACATAACATACATGGCTACCTAAAACCAGTTTTCTACAGCTATTTCCAGCAGAAAATCAATTCTAACACAAGTTTAATACATAATGAGTAATTGCCTAAAAGTCATTTATTTTAAGAAGAATTTCAAGTCACTGCCACTTATTCCAGCCCAAGAAATCCCATACTGCGGGATGCATCTGTAGCTAAAATAATCCTGCTACCATAATCGGAAGTACTAGACAACGTAGCAAGAATATGAAATCTAGGCTTAGTTGGAAGAAACATTGCCTACCAACAGCATTTTTACCTAACCTAAAACACCGATGCAAATGCTTTAACTCTTTCAAAGCCATATTTGCAGTTTTAAAATCAGATTTAAATTCAACTTGTCAAAATAAAAAATTATAGTATCTCTTCCTAGATAGAAGCTGAATCTGAACTGGAATGGCCTTAAGTTCAGCAAGATACTATCATGAAGACATATCACTAAATTTACATGCTTGGTACATCGGAATCATAACAAACACTTACCTTGCTGAGATGCTTCACTGATGCATGTGTCGGCTTCTTTTTCCACTTCCATATCACTGGTGGATTCCTCCAAGGGCTCTTTGCCTTTTTGACGGGCTGCAGAGGAGGTTTTGGTCCTCTTGCTTGGCATGATTTCTGTTGGCTGTTCCCCTCCGATTCCAAGCAATCAAACTACCCAAGGGATATGTCTCCTTTGCTAACACAAACAAGAAAAACCCCATGACCCAAGTGCTGGGCGTATCACCCGTTAAGGTCTATAACTGTGCATGTGTATCCAAAATGACTACTACTATGTGAAATCCATATGAATTTCAAAGATAGGATCAGGATTTCAACCAAACTAAAACTCAGCCTTTATTCACCATATTATAAAGTCCCTTAAATTGGTAGCTTTATCCCCTTGGCTTTTATATAAAAGTAGAGGACATCCATCTATTGAAACCCATCATACAGACACATTCTGATGTGGCAGCATTAAAACCTAACATCCATATTCAGATAAAGAATAATTATGATATTGCTGGCAAGTGTCATTTCAGTAATAAACTGAATGAACATCCCAAGCAGATATGTTCTTGAAGAAGCACTTTTATATATACACACACACCTAAGATTTTCTAATAAGTATTTTCAGTAGTCCAATCTAATATTACTCAGATACTTTCCACTCTATAGAAAGTTTCTAGTCCAAAGGACATTAAACTGAACGGTTTCCCCAAAATGTAGCTAAATGCTCACTATTGGCAATGCTCAACACTTAAAGACAGCACACCAAACAAAAAGCAAATTAAGTATCAGCAGTAGATTTGATGTTAATGCTTGATCAAGGGGAAAAAAAGCAGCACAAAAGTCCCCACTTGGCACATAAAGGCAGTTGCCAAAAAAGCAAGAATAGAAAGCAGCTCAGGAGAAAGATGAAAAGCAAGAAGCCTGAACTAGTAAAATATTCTCCTCAAAAAGTCTAAATTACTCTATCACAGCAAGTGGTGAATTTAGTTTGGAGAAAAACAGACAAGAAAGTATGCTTCTCACAAGATAAAAAACGGACGTGGTTGGAAAGTCATCTTACAATCGGTGCCAATCATTTGACATTTTCTGACCTACCTACAGTCCCAACCCACAAGAGTCCTTCATTTGGGACAATAGGGGTTGGGATGGGGATGGGGGTGGAAGATAGAGGGAGAATTCGTTTTAAGGCAATTTGAGTCTCTATGCCCGTTCTCCGTGACAGTTTTTTTTTTAAACAAAGTCCTATAGGATTTTTTTTAATAACGTTAATTCAAATTGAGTAGGGTAGTTAATCATACAAAAATACTGAAAACAGATTTAAGAGTCATTTACAATATAACTATTTATCATCAGCTTTTAAATCTGAGTTCCCTCGCATCTCAATCTGAATCACCTTGCCAAGCATGAATCATTTACCCCAGTTACTCCCTGATCATCTAACAGGTATTTATGTCCAAACCCACCGCCCCAAAAAAAATAAAATCAAAAGGTGTTTCTTAAAAGCAACACTTACGGACCTGCTGCCAAGTGTGAGTCTCATTGCGATTAAAAACCAAGATGATTCCCCCATTTGGAAAATATTCAATGTAAGGGTAATAACTGATGTCAGCGACCAGTGATTGTGTTGCGCATTTCCCTCAGAATTGTTTTGGAAGCAACCAGTCATCCTAAAGTTCCCCATAGCCCCTTGGTCTGGGTCTATAGGGGTTTCCCTAGGGTACAACTGTCAGAAGTAGTTGAAAACACAATCACAAAGACGACCCTAGTCTGCAGACAGATTAAAATCAGGCCTCACAAACTTGTTACTGCGCCTCTCCTCCAGTGATTGGTATCTGATGAATGGGTCCCCATAGGTCCATAAGGATACAACGGGGAATCCGCTCTCTCCCATAGGTTGCAATGGACCCCCACCCATGATTCGGTAGATATAATATTGCTGGTGATGGTAGGTCGCCGCCCCGAGGAACAAAATCACACCACTCTTCTCTACGCGCGAGGAGTACCGCTCCGTGCTCGGGAAGGGCCAGTTACATTGGCGGTGGTACGGAACGGCAGTCAGACAGTCGCCCCACCCCGCGGGACTGCAGATTAAAGACGTGGGAAAAGAAGCCGCCGCCGCCTTTCGCTCCCCCGAAGGGGTGGGGGGAAGGGAAAAGAAAGGGAGGGAGGGAAAAGTCCGCCGCCCCTTGCTCCCCACCCGCCAGGGTAGCTTACGTAGGGAAATCTACAGCTACCCCCCAGGCAGGCTCCATGGGGAGGTCCCCCAGCTCCAGTTACAGGGAAGAGAGCCCCCCAGCTCCACCTGTCCCCAGATAAATTACTAGGCACTTTGCTGGAAGCGCTGCTTGCCGAGCCGCCCCAGGGTTCGCAGTCCTGTCAGCAGGCAGAGCTGGTACCTTGTACGCGGAGCAGGCGGCGAGCTGCCCCGGCAAGACTTCGGGTGACGCTGGCTCTGAAGAGTCCGGCCGGCTCCTGCCTGCTGCAGCTTGGCGGCTTCTACACTCGAAAATGGCGCCCAAACTCCAAACTCGAACCGAAATTCGTTAGAAACGCGCGGAGCATGCTGGGTAAAGAGAGGGACGGCTGTCGGCCTCCCACAGGTTTGAAAGGAGGAAAAAAAAAAAACCCTCCGGCGCCATATTGTTTTCCGTTACTGTGCGGAACGGGGTAAAAATAAAATAAAAACATTTACATAGTTTTGGTAATTTTTAATTTAAAGTAAATGAAAAGAACGGTACTTAAAGGCGCCTAAGTGAGGAAAAAATCCTACTAATTTAAATGATAGTGTGGGTCAATGGGAGGAGCTTGGTTGCCTGGTAACGGCCTGAGGGGCGATGGCGGACGAAACTAAAAAAGGAATAAATATATTTAAAAAATTTAAAATATAAAATTATAATAAATATATTTTTTAAAATATATTAATTAACAGGCCCATCCGATGACGTCAGTGATTTGTCACCTGGCTTGGGAGGGTCCGTTAGGTGGACGGGGGAGTGAGGAAGTCTCGCGCGGGGATAAGCGTGGGAAATCTCGCGGGAAGTAGCTATAGAGACAGAGCGGCTTCCTTGCAGCGTTTGCTAACAGAGCGGAGAGGACTGAGAGATTAGTAAGTGGTGTCGCTCGTTGCTTCCCCCGACCCCGTATTAGGAGTTCTAGGGCGCCCTTAACTGGGGAGGAGGAAGCTTGTGTTAAATCTGTGAGGGTCTGGGAGCAACTGACAGCCCAAGTGCCAGCGACAGGGTCCTGCCCTGGAGAGGGTTCTCCACGCCCATTCACTCTCCCAGCTTGAGACTTGTACCCCTAGACCGACCAGCTGCCTTGGACAGGTAAATTTCCAAAAGGGGAGCTGGAGGGGCTGGAGCAATTTGTATAGTGGGGGTGCTGAGAGCCATTGAACCAAACTGTAAACCCTGTGTATAATGGAAGCCACTACAAGCCTGGGGGTGTGGTAGCATCCCTAATTCCAGCACCTATGCCAGTTACCTGTCTTGGGGAAGTGAGAGGATGAGGGGGAAGCCCTCTACTCCTGTAATGCCAGGGTCTGGAGTTATATGGAGATATACCTATCTTATAGAGCTGGAAGGGACCTTGAAAGGTCATTGAGTCCAGTTCCCTGGCTTCACAGCAGGACCAAGTACCATCCCTGACAGATTTTTGCCCCAGATCCCTAAATTTCCCCCTCAAGGATTGAACTCACAACCCTGGGTTTAGCAGGCCAATGCTCAAACCACTGAGCGATCCCTCTGGAGTGGTGGCCCACTATAATTTCCTTGTGGAAAGTGGGAGGGGGGAGCCTGGTCAAGAAAGAGCTGAGGGAACACTCACTCCATACTAGTTTGTGTTAAGCGATTCCCCCCACTACAACCTGCCTTGAGGGAGGGAGAAAGGCAGGGTTGTTTTGTTGGTCCCTCTAACTTGCCTGGTGAGAGCATGATGAAAAGTGTTTACTACTGTAACCTTTTCCTAGGATGGGTCCCAACAGTAACTTACCAGAAGGAAAATTGTGGCATGTGGCTGGAGGGAGGGGCATGAATGGAAGATGCTATGAATGGAGGGGGGGGCAGGGGAGTGTGAGTGGGTGAGCAGAAGTGGGTGGTGGAATTTAGAGAAGCATAGGGGTTAAGTGAAGACTTTGGGGAATGTCACAAGGCTCTGGGGGGTAGAGGGACTAGGAGTTGTGCAGGAGATGGGGGTGCAGTGGGGAGAGCCCAGTTCTGTGCTGCAGTATTGGTGCATCTGTCCCCACAGCCCTGCTTCTTCGGTGTATCAGGGAGCTAGGACAGCAGGATTATGCAGAGTGACTGGTCTCTCACCCTTGAGATCCTTCATTCACATCCCTGTTTCTTTGCCATAAATAGGGTGACCAGATCACCCAGGTCAAATATCGGGACGCAGAGCAAAAAAAAAAAAAAAAAAATGGCGGCAGAGACAAAAAAACACACACACACCCTTCCTCCTCCCTCCACAAGCGCTGGAGGGAGGCCCCGTAGACGCGAGGGGGACGCCCGGGACCGGGGTGCGTGAGATTCCGGCCTGGCCCCGAGTGCAGGCAGGACTCAGTCGGGCGGTACCTGGAGGGAGAGTAGGGGGGCGGCCCATGGGGCCAGGCGGCGGCTGTTCTCCCCACCTGGGCAGCGGGACTCGGGAGCAG